AGTGGGGGGGGGGGGGGGGGGGGGGAATCTGGCTTCGGAAATGAACACAGTTCGCGGAAAGCTCGTGTTACGCTTTTATTTGCTGCTCCTGTCGTCCCGTACACGAGATGTAGCGTCCTCGTTAAGCCCTATTGAGCTCGATTTGCTCGATTCAGGGCCGCCATAATGAGATGCAGGCGACGGAGAAACCTTGCTCCCCTGCTTCAGGGACGAAAGTTTCTCTCTTTCTAAAGGAACACAGGTTACAAGACCGTTCCTCCCCTGAGGGAGGACTATCCATACCCTTTTTTCTAAGAGTGTACTTAGGTAACTGCAGTGTATCCTATGGAATACGTACGTTTTGAAGCACAGCGCGTGGATGGCGTTTCACCGTACTCTGTAGAACACGCAGTTTTGAAACGACAATCTAGATTGCGCTTCAAAAAACGGGGGGCGAACTGAAGTGAGTGAGGGGGGTACCCCCTCCACGGGAGTGTCACAACCGAGGTAAACAAGTAACGTTGCGCCAGAGTAGCCGCACCGGATGTCGCCATAGTGAGACACTGGGCTTCCGAGCTTGTTCTACCGAGCAGCCAAGCCAATTCAGTAGTAATATGGGCGGGGCCACTGATCTGTGGGCGGGGCATAGAGCAGACCATGAAGGCTACCTAAAGTGCGTACACCGACCTAAATACTGCTCGAAAAAAATTTTCTTTTCCCAGAAAACTTAGAAAAAAACACGTGTTTCACTATGCTTTCAATTTTTTTTTTCATTTGAGTGTTTTTTTAGGCAGACTAGAAATAAACTTATTTTGTGGCGAATTTTCTGACAGTATTGAGGCTATGCTGATAAAAGATCTTAATTAAGAATAATAGATTGTAAGTTTAAAATACTTAGGCTGTGGCAAACAAATTGCGACTAACTCGAATTAATTTGTCCAAAAACTTCGGACAGCACAAACTATGTTGCTCTCTAATTAAGGGATAAGCTGCAAGCATGGTTGAAAGAGCCGCGGCAGGACGTGTTTCAATTTGCCGCGAAATGTAGCGGGTGCATTGAATTCGCGTGTCTATATCAGGTTACACCAAGCCATGCGACGGCATTCTCCTCGCTTCACGTGACGCCATTTTTTCGCTAAGTTTAATGGGGAAGCAGAGTTGGTGTTGAAATTATGTGACATAAATTTTCCCGCAAAATCTAGCGGGCACCTAAATGTTTGTATAGGTCACGTGACGTCATTTTCCCGCTAAACTTAGCGGGGAGACTGAATTTTTGTATCGGTCACGTGACGTGAAGTCATGAGACGTCATTTCCCTCGCTAAATTTAGTGCGGAAACTGTATACTTGTTGAGATCACTTCACGCCAATTTTCCCGCTTAAATTTAGCGTGAAAACTGGATTTTTGTGTAGTTCACGCGACATAAAGTCATGTGACCTTATTTTCCCGGCTAAATTTTGCGGGGAAATTGGATTGGTGTTGAGGTCACGTGACGTCAATGTTCACGCTTAATCTAGAGGTTGGAAACTCAATACTTGTATTGGGCGCCTCCAACTCGTTGCTCGCCCTCCCGCGGCAGAAAAGGGAAGCGCTCTAGTGACTGTCCCCGGTTCTTCTGCTCAGCGGGCACGGCGGAACTGGACGCGATCATGGCTCGCGAACAGTCATTTCTGAATGCAAACAACACTCTTCACTGACCCGATGGAGTGCTGCAGCCGGCATGTGACTCTACCTTACTAGAGAGTTGTAATATTATGTAAAGAAACAAACGCAAGTGCTGTCCGTTTGCGTTAGGGTTGTGTGCTCCACGCCGCCCATGCGCATCGTTGCCATGCGCCAATCCAAGCCCACAATTTCGGGCTCCGCGCACGCGCAATGCAGAACACACAACGCTAACGCAAACACAAAGTGCTTGCGTTTGCTCATATAATCAATACTCAACCTCCCAGCTGTTTCACCGGTTTTCCAACGCGTTATTTTGACAAAATTGGCCGCAAGACAGGGGCAGAGTAGGTAAGAGAACACGAAGCGCTACCTTCAACTGAATTTCTAGTGAAACAACACACTATTTATACACCCAATCGGGCTTCTCAAGTAAGTATTCGAATTCCTTGTCTGTTAGATGCACTGACGGGGCACTTTTTTCATCTCTCCTCCCCTTCATTGTAATGCTAAATGACTCGAACATCTCTCTCGAGATTTTTGTTTTCAGCTTTCCCAGGATCTTTGTTTGTTTTGTTTTTTTAAGTTCCGGGGCGCAGGGGCATCTGTTGCCCCGGAACTGGAAAAAACAAAAAATTGTGGGAAAGCTGCGAACCAAAGTCTCAAGAGAGATGTTCGAGTCATTTAGCATTAGAATGCAGGGGGAGGACAGATGCAAAAGTGCCCCGTCAGTGCATCTAATAGACAGGGAATTTGAATTCTTACTTGAGAAGCCCGATTGGGGTGTATAAATAGTGTGTTGTTTTAATAAAAATTCAGCTGAAGGTAGCGCTTCGTGTTGTCTTACCTACTCTGTCCCTGTCTTGCGGCGAATTTTGTCAAAATAAGCCATGTACCAACTGGCCCATCTGTCACTATTGATTTCCAACGCCAACGAAAGATACTCCAGTGAGCAGACGTCCACGCTGGTGGGCGCTCCTTCGCGGGAGAAAGGCCGAGATTGGCAAAAGGGCGGTGCGTAGAAATGAACGAAAATAAAGGTTCTGGGTAGTTTTGTGGTTTAAAACCCTACAGAATCTGTTTTTTTTTTTTTGTTTTTTTTTTCGTATTTCGGGGAATTTGTTGCGAAAGGATTGGCGGCGAGTTTGGAAGTTTCCGTGAGTGTCAAAACTAGCCACTTTTACGTTACCATGTGATTTACCAACAATTAATATCATTTTACGTGAATTGATCAGACTAGCTAGAATGTTTATATTATTTTTATTTCATAACTTCTTAATTAAGAATGCTGCAATTTGCACCAGTGATGATAGTTTGCCAACTTTGGACTACGATAGTTGTTCGCGCGTTTGAAATTGGATCATAATCAGCAGATTATATTAGAGGTTTAAAATCTATGTAATAAAATATCTTAATGTCACTATTATAACTACAAATTGCCCTAATTTAGGCCGCAAAAAACGCCACAATCACAAAAACACGCCATTTAACCATACTAGTTTTTACAGAAAAATCTAATTTTGATTCGTTTTCAGTACATAAAAACCTCTGACATCGTTATCGAGATAGACATAAATACTAGATGTAATATAAAGTCCTATGGGTCACGCGTTGCCTTAAAAAAACACACGTCTGTTGTCTGAATCGGATTTTGTTTTGGGGCTCTTGTAGTAAGAACAGCGTTTCTTAATTTATACGTTTCGTGAACATATTCTAAGCTAATTACCCGTGAAGATATTTTGTAAAATTTGGATTGATTTTATTATTCTTGCGCTGGGACTAATTCTGAAGTTATTAATCATCTAAATGCCCAAAACTTCATTAAAGTGCCTGCAGGTCATTATCTCACGTGTCTTTATTCGAGCAAAAAAGGCTCATAGAACACACAAATACCAACGTTTTTCTTTTTTTGACAAATACAATATTTTGTTACCTCTAAGATGTAAGGAAGACCATGTTTTTAAAAGGGCACTGAACTCTCAAGAACAATTTTAATTTCCTGAATCGGACATGCATGTCACAAAATAAAGTTTCCGCGAACGATTTTCACACATTTTGGCAGGCACATTTTGAGGCAGAAGAGAAACCGAAATGAACGTCTATATATTGAGAAACTAAATCCAAAATAGAAATTAGTTTCGGGTCCGTTCCTGAATAAAACGTGCCTCTCTGCGTAAATATTGCACTAAATGTTTTCATAATAAAAAGGTGACCTACGCCCAAAGCACATCAGCTTCCTCGTATAAGCAGGAATAATTTGTGTCTCTCAATAAAGCCAGTAGACTATACTGAGGGCTCAGCAACTTGCATACGAGCACTCATCTCCGATCCTCACTATTTACCGCCATGTTAGGAAACGAGTGGTGCCACCTAGAGACAGCTCGATTCGCGAATAGGCTAGCTACGTGACATCGTGTCACGTGACGTAGATTTATTTGCTAAATTTAGCGGGGAGACTGAAGCTTCTATAGGTCACGTGACATGAAGTCCTGTGACATCATTTTCCGCTTTGTTTAGCGGGGAATCTGAATTGGTGTTGTCACGTGACGTCAATGCTTTCACTAAATCTAGCGGGGAAACAGAATATGTCTACAGGTCACGTGATATGAAGTCATGTCACGTCATTTTGGCCGCTAATTCTAGAGAAACGTACCTCACATGGGTCTGATGATCCTGAAAAAGCTAATCGCTTAAAAAAATGATTTCCACGATTGGACGCTCGGTAGAGCATGGTACGTCCGAAGAAAAAAAAAAAAATATATATATATATAATGAAGAATGCGGATATCTAAAGATGTGCCCTAATCAAAGTGTATATCGTCAATAGTTAATGCGCCGAGGTACGAATGGACACAAGGAGACGAGAGCGCGCGGAGTCGTCAGAACGCCAAGCTCTGGTTAAAATGATTAATGGGTCGACGTAAAGCTAGCCGTCTTTGTGTCCACTGCACTCGTCGAACAGGTTAAAATGCAGGACGCTGGCGACCTGCGTTTCGCTTTCACATTCGAACGCGTTTGACGAGTGTAGTGCACTACCCATGCACTAATCATTCGAACCACCGCGCACCCTCGTTTCGTCCTCTCCTTCAGTTTCTCGGCGCGTAGAGCATTGCACCTATATGTGCAGGGCTCTTCTTGGCCGAAATATATCGAAGCGCTGCCACTCGAAACTTTGGCGCGTGCAATTAATTAGAAGACTCCCAAACCTAAGTTTATTCCTTCGCCCTCTATCCCCCTCTTCAAGACTCGGAGTCATGCCTCGAGCTTACAAGCAAGACGTCAACTCTAACGCGCAATAAGACGTCTACCTCCACTCACTGCGTCAAAAAACCTTAAGATGCCACAAACTCGAGGGCTCACCTGATTTGAGCAGTAACACCGGCCGGCCATGAACATCTCGCTGGGGAAGCACCATCACCACGCTTCTGGCAGCGGGTTTGGCTGTCGAAGGTACAAAATCCTCAAAGACAGAGGAGCATTCTTTGCGGATCCTGTAATAATTCTTAATATTCTTGAGCGCTTCATCAACATTGTACTTGCGCAAGCGGAGAAAGCGAAGCAAAAATTCGCTTTCTCTGCTTGATTGGAGCTCAGTTTCTTCTGAAAATGAAATATATATAAAATAATTATCTAAGGTGTGAATGTCAAGTCCCCGTCACCAAATAATTTGTACGACGCCGAATGTTCTCCGAACGCAACGTCTTTCCTTTTCAAGCTGAGCTGTTTCACTCGAAGGCTAAAGGAATCTACATCACAGGCGCGTTTCGGCGGGTTAATTTAGTAATAGTACACAATCGGAATGTTTAATAAAAATTTCCCATCGCGGTTAGACTACAAAGAGTTCGAGCGTCAGTTCCTCAACTATATTCTGCACCAAACACGAAAAAGTTAAAAAGTTAGTCAAGGCTTTTTTAGTTTAAATAATTAATCAATATTACGTCATTTCTAGTGGCCCCATGGCCCCCAACTTAGCCCCGCAAGTTATAAAATCCTCTAAAGCGTTTTTAGTTCTTAGAAAATGCATGGTCTCGCTCACAAACCAACCCCGGGTGTATCAGCGAAGACTTCAAAAATTTCTTAAGATAGGCTCTTTTAATATCATTATTTATAAGAACACACCGTCAGTAACGGCAGACATCAGGGTTGGCAAAAACATTCTATGTAGTTGAACAATTAACTAAATTGTTCTGATTATCTTTTAAGGTAATAAAAATAAATTTATAACTTCAATTAGAAACTTGGGCTCTTCAAGAACCACTAAATCAACTCATTCTAAAAAAGCCTTATAAGGCACGTTCGGCATTCTGTGGAGTTGCAAAAGAACGCTCGATTCGAACACCTTTCTGGGAGTCGGTTTCCTATTTCTTTGCTCTAGTGGTAAAACCAAATTGAATTTTCAACGTCGCAGAATTTGTTTGTTCCTATATAGGTATATGAAGGCTTCTCAACCGCGTACTATTAATCACATCTACATTAACTTCGTCATCTCAGTCAAAACACGCATATGTGTTAGGAACGTTAGGAAAGCCTGCCTGATCTTAAGTGAGTTTCTCCAAAAAAAAAAAAAGAAAAGAAGAGGAAACACGGAAAATCAGAAAAAGAAGAGAAGAAAGATAGCGAATATTAATTTTTCATCTTTGGTATAACCGTTCTCCCTAAGCAAATTTACGTTGCAAAAATGTTTCAGAAGCCTGGACTCATCACGGTGAAACAAACTACGCCGACTTGACGCAACAAACACTAAACCAGACAAAATGTTTAAAGGGGCGATGCAACGATTTGTGTATTTTGCACAAATACCGCTTAGAACGGATCCCTGACGTTAATGACCTGTGTAATACCCGTTCGTTTTTCACCACACGCAATCGAAGTCGCAGAAAGAAATAAAGAAAAACGAGCAAAGTTCACCCCCTCAACTCGCAGCCAGAACAAGTAGCCACGTGATCTGGAGCCGATTATATGCCGCCAATGTTGATCATAGCCATGCGCTGGGGTTGGCAAGGCACAGGACACGCGTTGCGTTCCAGACATTGTTATGGTTCGGCTGTTGTCGTCAATGCAGCGATTGGACAGACGACACTACCCGAATGCTTCTCGAGCTATCGATTATCACGAGCCGAAATCGAGTGCCCACGCAATGCTCGGGTCCAATCTATGAACCGCATTCAAAAATCGTCACTGGGCGGTACTGCTACCGCCCAGCTACGTCATCAGGTTTTGCGAAGGAGAGGTTGAATGAAAGCGCTCGGTTTTATCCTCGAAATTACAGCGCAACAAAGAAGTTTCTTGGTCAGTGGCGTTGCGTGCCAGTATCCTTGGGTCCCACTAGTGCCAGTAAGCTCGTGTAAAGTGAAAAACATTCCAATTGAATATCGTTGCACCGCCCCTTTAATTATATTTTTATTATCCTAGAATACGTTTCTGGGCTAGATTTTATGCGAGAAATGAGGCAATACTGTGTTACGAAAAAGCGTCACACACAGGCAAAAGTAACATAAAGCATGCATGTATGTAAAAGGTTTACTTAGTCAAGCGGGGAGCCAAATTTTCGGAGGTCGAACCCCAGATTTGTACTCAAGAACCGAACCCTAGACCATCCGATTCAAAGACCGACGTCTTTACTCGACGCTACAAGGAGAACGTGAAAGTTGCTCGACTAAGAATGACTTTCCATCGAAAATCACCTGCGGTAGCACGCGACTTTCCGCGGCGAGTGATACTTAGTCCACCATACTTCGTCCGCAGACGACCGTCGCCGGCAGGTCACAGTTAGTCCAGCATACTTGGCCCGCAGGTGACCGTCGGGGTCGAGTGATGTATAGCTGTACATAATTAGTCTGCAGGCGATTGTTGGCGGTGAGCCATATACTTATTGCAGCACACGTTTCCACAGGCAACTGTCTGCGCCCGCAGCTGGCGCTCGCATGACGTGGGTAGACTTCAATGCATCTAGCATTTAGGTCTACCCACTATCCTCTCAATCGAAGCCAACCAGAGCTCGGTGTCGTTCTGTCGTCACCGCATCTTCTGCGCAAGAAGCCGATGACTTGCTCTCCGTATAGAAAAAAGGCCCGATAAACTTTCTCCCATCGTCATTGCTCTAGTTACCACCCCCTCCCCCAAGGGTTTCCTCGCAATCCTAGAGCACTACGCATCCTGAATAAATATTAACTCGTCTTAATAACTCTTGTAAACCTAGAAAACGCAGGAGTGTGTGGTGTGCGCAGCGCGTCCGAAACTTCCCGAAGCTTTCCGTAACCAATCATTGCAAATCACAGTTCCTAATGCATGAATAATTCCCGCACGAGAGATTTTGTACTCTTCGGCTCTATCAGAATGGTGAAGACGACTTTATCTTGTTTTATTTTATCAAGTCGGTGTCGTTTGTTTTACCGTCTTACTTTAAGCTGAGGGCCTTCAGCAGTCAAAACACAAATGTGAGACGGAGAAGTCGCTCGCCTCTTTGTTAGCACGACAAATGAATATAATGACATCTGCTGGTTAAAATACAAAAACTCTAGAAACAATGAAAAAAAAAAACAGTGCTTTCTCTCTATTCCTGTAACTTACCAGCGCACCCCGATTCGTCGAGTATAAACAAGTTTCAGAACATACTCTTAGTGTCGCGAATATTCAGACACTCCACAGAATAGGTGTGTTCAAAATGCCATATGAAAAGAAATTTCATCCCGCTATTAGGAACTTACCATCTAGTAGATGATTGAGTTTCTCCAGCGCCTCCCATTTTCCCTGGTCAGTCTCTCGAGGTTCAGTTTCACCAATCAGCTGGAGGTCAGGCTGGAGACAATCGCTTGTTATCATGTTTGAATGCACTTGCGTTTAGATTATAGTCCTCTTGGCTTGTAGTAAAAGTGCCAAGACCAACAGGTAGGGTTAAATACTGGGCGAAAATCTCGCGCTTCGAGACAGGTGCGCACTGGAGGGAATAATGTGGACACCTACTTAGTTTTCCGGCACTGGTCCGTAAACACGTCACGAGTGAGAACGTCAGGAAGGCATAGTCTTTCTTAGCAACTCCCATCGCGAACCGGTTACACGAGTAACCAAATTTACTCACTTTGAATTTCTGAGCAAAGGAAAGTCGCACCGCTATGGCGGCCATCCGACAAACAAGCTTCTTGACTTCCTCAAAACGTAATACGAGAGAGTCGAGAAAGGGTTGTTATTCTGTAAACGTTTTCCAAGCTTACGCAAAGCAGCTAGTCGGTCTTGGGAAAACAGAGTGTAATGCTCTGGGCAGGCGCGTAGCCAGGATATTGTTTCGAGGGGGGGCGCCTATGACAAAATGCTTTATGAGGCGGAGGGGGAGAGGAGGCCTCAGCGAAACAAAAGTTTTCGGCTTCCCCCCCCCCCCCCCTTCCCTCTGGATACCTGCCTGACTCTGGGTGAATCTATCCTTCGGTATTGCATCTCGTTATGTTGCAAGTGATATCGCCAAGAGAACGGTTTACGACGATGTTGTAAAATGTGCAAAAGTGCGTATTCTTTGGATATAATTATAAAATGGTTGTATTGGTATGGCATTTCAATAAAATATTGGCTATAAAAAAGAGCGAGTTAAACAAAATCGCCAACTTTAAGCCGTAATGAGACTTTTCTTCTTCCAAAAGCATAAAACACATTAGGGAAAAATATATACATGCTATTATGTTCCAAGTTATTTTAATAAGTTGCCGGAAGCACTGAATCAAAGAGATTAACTGAAGCGAGTAAAGTAATGGTGTATCCAATTGAGCTTATGGTAACATGTACGTTGACCTTAATTTCTGAGGTTTGCTTTTTATTCTTATTTTCTTGTTTGTTTCATTGGTTGCATGCTACCAGTCTTGCTTGGAAATTGTTTTAATGCAGCACATAGTCACAAAGCCCGACATTCACGCACTACCGTGCTTTCTGGGGCGAAATAATGTACCATACAAATGTTGAAAAAAAAGTTATAATTGCAAAAGAAATTGCTTTGACATGCTGAATTGACATAATGCAGCCTGCACGCCCCGTTCACCGCCGTTACGTGTATAGATATTCTCCACTCCCAGGTACCACTGGTGAGCAAAGCCCGTCTCTGGCCGCATGCCTAGATAAAAGATAGCATGTTTTGATGAATATCTGCACAGCTTCTCCGATCATTTAACAACAACCGACATGGAATGCGCACTACCCTACACACTGGGTGCACGAATAAAATACTTTCGTGCCAGAATAAAAAAAAGAATGATGAATATGATTTACACTGTTGTAAATTATTTTTTTAAATTGTGATTTAAATCAGACCAGTTCTGCTATGATGATTTAAAGCAAAACAATCCTGCAAAAATAACCAACAATTATTTTTTATCATTAATGTTTTTTATGTTTTCTATTTGCATCTGCTGAGTATTTAAAGAAGTCAGTGAGTGGGGCCATAATGCAGCTTGGTTCTCTGCCCTTCCCTGTTTGTGGTATTAGCGGACGAACGTCAATCTGGAGAACACCGGAGTAAACTGCAGTCGGTCCGTGCTCCGTGCGTTTTTGAACGGCACCAAGAAAGGTTGTGGGCAACCTGGGGATTCCAAGCGGTTGGCCCAGGCTGCCCCTCCGACAATCATGTGTAGTCATCTTGACCACGAGGGGGCCAAGGGCAACTGGCCACGCCAGCGGCGCTAAGCCGCTGATAAAAGGCCGTCGGAGCGGATGCGCGGAGGCTGTTGGGATCGCGGCGCAGGCGATAGCGGTCATTAAGTGTTTACGTGTTGTTGAACCGGTGGACTGTGTCATTCCCCGAGACGGGTAGCAGCAAGGGAAATCCCACAAGGTACACACGGCAAACGTCCGTTTACCGTGTGTATCTTGTCTTAACTGACGTTCCGATCAATTACAATGAGTGTCTTGGTGCTTTCTTCTCTTTTACTTATATTTATAGATCGAAAACGTTTTTTTTATTTACAGACGTCTCAACCGGTGCTCGACCTGTTCAGAACCATAGAAAAAAGAATATTGATCCTAACTTATTTTACTAATTCATTATGCCTTTACTTTTATCAACAACGTTTTGGTATTGTCTGGCAGTATACGCCGGTATATTAAGATGTACTATCACGATCAATATGAGTGCGAACACCACTCCGCGTCGCCCGCGGTACTGTTAGTGCCCTCTGTCGACTGTTCTTTGAAGTACACGTGCTCCTTGGTTTCGAGACATTTCGTCTCTAACGATCGCCGCACCACTCTGCACTTCCGGGTCGTCTGCTGCGAAAAACGGTCGGCAAAACCGGGAGACTGTACACCGATGACGAGCGTTTTTCGCTAGAAATGTGCGCCAGCAAAAATAACTTGTATAGACATCTTTAGCTTCATGCTTTTGATTAAGAAAATTTAGTAGAATATTCCCCTGACTCCGATAACAATACCCGATACTTCGCCGACGACTTTAAGCATGCATTATTTTGTTATCGGACGTTTCAAAACAATCAACTAAGCTTGATAAAAGCTTGGTATGCTGGTCAAGTTGGTAATTGGCATTCATATTAAAAATATCGCAAAAAAGACGGGACAAAAAAGACGAAGAAGCGCTTGTCCTGCGTGCTGTTTCGCCCTTTTTGTCCCGTCTTTTTTTCACTATGTTTAAAATCAACCAAGACTGCCTATTATTTACTTCGCGTGAGTTTTGCGATAGCAAAAAACCACCAACTCGCACAGGCAAGAAGTTAGTGCGGTGCGAGCGTGGGTGATATCTTTCATCATAAAAAACAGCGCGAAAGAAACAACGATGACGTTAAGAAACAGACGGGACGTCCTCGTCATTTTTTTTTTTTTGCGCTGTTTTTCATGATGAATTCCCACCAACTCGCCCAAATATTCATTCTTCTAAATGATACCATTCGCTCCTTAGCACTGTAAAAGCAACATGACACAGCATAAAGTTCAGTGTCGCTGTGGGTTATCGCGCGATAACCAGACCACTACTTTGCAGCTCGAACGCATTTGTCAGGGGAATAGTCTGCTGAAACTTCCTAATCAAAATAATGACACTGAAATATTTATACAAATAATTTTGCGGGCGCTCATTGCTAGCGAAAATGCTCTTCGTCATTGGCGAACAGTTTCCCGGTTTCGCCGACCGTTTTTCGCTAGCCGACGACCCTGGAGTACAGAGTGGTGCGGCAATCGCAACGAGGTAGAGGGGCTTAGAGTGATAAACCGGAAGTTCGGGAGTGGCACCCTCCCGGTTGCCGCCATGTTTTACGCAAATGTGACCACTCGTCACGTGACCTCACAAGAGCCGTGACGTCACAAGTAAGATGGCAGCGCCCACAGCTGGTGGATGGGAGCTTGTTCGGTGCGCGGCAGCCGTGATGTGCAGCGGCTTTCCGACAATTTCGGGCTTTTTCGTGCTCGCTGACAAGGTTATAATGTGAAAGTATGAAGGAATGAGACTTTATACCCTTTTTGCGCAAGATCGCTCTGGGTCATCTGGATATTAACAACTGTGAGACAGCATCAGCCGTATCGCCGTGCCGGTGCTCGGATTCGGGATCTGTTCAAGGATCGATAGAACTTTGAGTGGTTTTAGCATAAAATTTTCGCATTCTCTTAGCTTTGTTTGAACGTTGGAATGTCTGGGAATCGACGCGAAAGGTATACGTCGCGTTAGGGCCTAAGAGAAGTTGTTTCAGGCCTGCGTCACCGAATAACCATAGCAACTTTTAGCGAGGAAGCTCCTGCGATCTTTAACCTTTTGTGCTAATCGACGATTCTACATTCGATAGCTTTTCTTCCTTTTTTGGTGAGTGCGAAGTGCACACTTATTTTCTGCTACGAGGATGACGTTTTATTGAGTGTGGAGATGAATAAATCGTTGTAGGCACCTGCTTCAAAGCTATTCGACTTGCAATAAGAACAACTGTTTTGGTGTATGCATAGATGAAATACACCTTTTTTTCTTTCGTAGGATTTATTGCAGCAATACTTTTTTTTCATCAAGAGTGCATTGTATTAGTCGGTCAATTATTTACTTGTTCTAATTACCTGGATAAGATGATTCATATTTGTGTTCATCCCTTGCCTGAAGAGCAGTCTTGTTGAGAAATGTTGACCATTCCTTTCGGTCTCCTCAATAGCCTTTTTTGAAACTTGTGGGTTGCCTATACTTCGTATCATTGTAACCTGGAAAAGGGCAACCGCCACAGCCCCCTCGAACCAGTCGGAGAGACAGAGCGAAGCTGTGTGAAAAATCTGTGCAGACGAGCACTCTGAATGACATGTTGTCATGTGCCTCTCTCCAACGTGCATATTGGCTCACCGAGACTGTAGCCTTTACCGTTTGCTAAATTGTAATGACACGAATTACAGTAGGTACTACTCTAATTACCCCAGGCTTTCATACTTTGGTCATTTGTTCGACAAGAGTGTTATGTCCGCCATCACTGTGACCTCGGCTCAGCGCCTAGTGGACTCGAATGCTGCATTTGCATTTGACGTGAACTAGGGCCCATTTGCGTGCTTTATGCCGAAAAAAATGAGTTGTGTTGCTTGATGAGGTTCTGCAAAGGGTCTATTGTGTCATACGTATAGGAAGTGTCCTGCTATATAACAATGCATCAACTCATAGGACTAAAGTATATGCTCAGAAGTGTGTTCAGGAGAAGTGGAATGAGTGCAGCCCAATGCAACAAGTCTGCCAGTCTGGTATGTCCCATTAATTCATATTAAAGGGTCAGAGATGCAAGTGTCCTCAAAAGGACCTGCGCGTGTGGTGAGCACAATTCTTTGTGTATAAACTCTCAAGGCGTAAAGGCAAGCGGAAATAGGTTTATCTGGTTAGT